TATATATATATATATATATATATATATATATATATATATATATATATATATATATGTGATGCAATAATACCCGCATTCATCAAAATTTTTACAGATGAACAATATTGAGTGATAGAGAAAATGAAATTATTGACGAGAAAAAAGGATCATGTTTTGAGGTAAGCCTAAACCTGTCTTTTAGAAGAGAAGAGTGTCGTTTACATTTCAAATGATATACCACATCACGAGCATTGCGAATATGTGATTTCAAGAAGCACAATCTAAATTAAAGAAACCAAATGAATGAAGATGATGATCAAAGATATTCATTTCGAGCCTCAATCGGTACTTTATCTGAACAAACGTAATCGATCAAGCGATTCTGATCGATCAATAATAAACGCTGTAAACACTGCCTTGACGCAATACTACCCGCACTGCTAACCATCAATTGATCTCTTCGTATCATTCGACACATTATCTCTTTCACTCCCGACCACTTCTAAATTCATTTAAATCATTCGTTTTCAGATGACTCCAAAGTCATCTGCATGCAACTGAATACGAAACGAGACCTGATACTGTTTAGAAAAGTGCAGCGAACGCATACCAAAAATTGATAACATAAATTCACGATTACATCTCAGGACAGAAAATACAAGAATTGAATTGGATGGGGATACCCTGTGGAGCACATTTTATTTCCACTGCATAATAAAAGTACAGCTTCGCTAATATAGTAGTGATTTAAGTTCACTTGTTAACAACAATATCAGCAAGTGAAACTAACTGAACAGAACTTGATGATTTAGACAAAAAATGAAGGAACGAATGACCTTAAGAGCGCTGATAATTCGTTGTAGATTAACACCGTTATTCACACAAATATCACCAGCGATAACGCTCGGCGATTCCGATTCACCAAAATCCCAAACTTCTGCACCATTGCTCGTTTCCAGATGAAGCGCTTCGAAGGTCGACGTTAACGACAAATGATGGAATGTGCGAAATGCTACCTGAAACAGCGCATTGCTCCACTTCATCTTCGCTACAAATCGGAATAATAACACGGTTCCATGGTGAATGACTGAATACTGAATAACTCGATATGAAAAAATGCAGCGTATTCCGTTAAACCACTCACATCATCGCTCAAATACCACGGTATTTAACTGATAAAAGCCAGTTTTCTCGATACTGATTAGCTGAAGTCTTAATGCAATCCTTACGGAAGAACGCTGATAACCTCAAAAAAAAAAACAAAACATCTTAAAACAACATTAAAATAAAAATGAAAGTGTTAGAAATAACATACAGCATTTAGCATGGCCCACTGATAAGGTTTTGTGAGTATTAGAGAAGGTGGTTGTTGATTGGTATTGGCTAAATTCACTGGCATTAACATCTTCAGCGAGCTTGCGTTCGCAAATCGTTCACTAGCCAAATAACGGATGAACGATATCAAAATATCGCCGATACTCGCAAATATCGTACAATCTCCAACCGGTAAATGCTTATCACCTTCTTCAGTTGACTGCAAATCAAAATTCAATCACTGTCGAAATTTCGTCGAAAATTTTTCACTTCGGATTGATTATTTTCGTGTGACTCGGCGAGTGAACGCAATGTTGGAAATATATAAATATTTACATGCACCTCTTTGGATGCGACAACCTGATAAGATTCGTCAGTACTGTGCCCTAGCATTTTCGAAAGAAATACCCCATTCGCCGATCACAGCTAGTTAGAAGCTCATGGATAGTTTGAAAGAAAGATTTTACATAAAATGAACTGATAACCAACTCTCAACCATAATACTTTCAATCAATCAAAAAACGATGAACGACGCATAAATAAAAAGATATATGAACGAATGAATGAACAATGAATAAAACGAACAAGAGGGGTTAAGAATGTGAACTGATCCAAAAGATCCAGCGATGAATGTTTTCCATGCAATAAACCGATACCAAACTGTAAAAATAAGGTTACAACATGATCCCTCCTGACCACTGATTGTTCATAAACACCTTCCAACGACAACCAGTTGTCAATTACGAAACACAACATCGCTAATTTATACCCGTACCTATAATGAATAAGTTCATTCACCAACAAATGATTGCTCCAGCGAAGATACTATTGTTATAGTTATCATAATAACGACAATTATTATCGTCATAACCAATATTATTATTGTTGTTATTATCCCCCCCAAAAAAAACAAGCATTAATAAAGCTTGAAATAGCGACGCTCTTTTATTTATATGAATTTTGAGAAAAGGTAGAATCCATTGGAAATATATATCGAAAAATATCAAGGATATTAGGGGGACAGTTTTGTCGAATTAAAACGAAAAATTTCCAGCAATTGATGCTTTCAGTCGTATACTCAGTCCACCGATCAAGAATGATTATGGAATTGGATGCACTGTCATACGTCAGCATCTTGTCCATTAACTATCAAATTCAAAAAGAATCAATTAGCCAAATTCATCGAATGACACAACGGCGGATGAAAAAATTAAAGCGATTATCAAATGAAGTTCACATTTGATCATTTGAATGTTAAGAAAAACGGAGACCTTTTCGTATACTCAACAAAATAAATATGCTTCAATGGACCACTGCTGAGTTCATTCAACATTGCGTTCATACGAAACGAATTTTTTGCACAGAATTTTTCGATAACTTCACTGAGACGATTTGAAATTGGATTTAATATTTTTGGTGACGGTTGCTTCAAAGCAATTAACTGCAATGCACAACTCATTAATCATCGACTAATAATTAATCGCTATTGCATTTATATTGAACAAATAATAAGTAGATAAACGTAATGTGAAGGCAAAATAAATTCGAATATTTTCTAAGTGTCTGGCCAATGGAAATTAAAGTGGAATACTTACAATACGACGTTTCACAATCAATAGTAAATCCCAAACAATCCACGGAAATGAACGAAATTTCTTTGAGCACATAGCCCTTTTGCCATAGCAAACCGCGTACCATACTTTTGCTTTCGTTATCAGTGCCGTATTCCAACGAATACCTCGTTGCCCAAATGCATCAACCGTTATAAAATCTGATTCTTCACCGAACTCCTTCAATATCCTTTGAACTAATATTAACAGCAACAAAGATAATTAATATTTTTAGCATGATTATCTGTAACTCACTAATAATGTCGTTTCAAATACATTATCTACTTGTTAACGGTTTTCGAATCGAACAGAAGATCGATTATTCCAAATTATTTTACTTACCGCAAAGAATTCACGTCTGAATGATGCATATATTCGACTATATCGCAGTTCAACAATTTTATCGGAATGATAATACGAATAATCATCTCTTTCCATATCGGTGATGCGTCTTATAGTAACACTGTGACCAGAGACCACTGACGCCTCATCGCTAATTCCATATTCATCCATTAATTGCTTGAAATTGAATCACATAAACGATTGATGCATTAAGTCCGCAACAAATTAACTCGACAGTTCAACAAGAAATGAGCAAATGATCAAGAAGCAGAAAGTAAATGAATGAACATCTCATGCGAAACAATTTCTTAACATGTTTTGTTAACTGTTCGGAAACAAATTGTTTTCCATATGAAGAAAGTTTGCATTGACTGCATACTTTAGGAACAATGTTTGAGAATTGATGAGTAAAAACGATAACGAAGACATAAAAAGTACTTGTAATTTAGTGTTGTATTGATCACGTAATCGGATACTATTTTTGATAAGCGTTGGATGTGTTTCGAATAAACTTTCATCATAAAGTTGCGCATCGAAACTATCATCGTAGCGCATCGTTTGTGCTAATTCAACAATATTCTCGACTTTCTTCACTTTCCTAAATTGACTGCATCTTTCAGAAAACTTAATAACGGTTCAAAGAGTGCAATCTGCATGCGATAAGGCGCTGAGGTGATTTTATGTTGAAAAAGTAACACAAATGAGGGGTTTGCAAATTCAGCAAACGAATGAGTTCGTGATTGTAAGAAAGGAAAACAACATGGAAAATCACCGATAGAGTTGTCCAATGAGTCGATTACTTCTGTAGCTTGGCTTGAAACTTTTCTGCATGAAATCAGGAACCACGTCGCTTTGTTCATATGATGTTAATGGCTCGGCTGGTTCACCACTCTTTGGGAAATCGACCGCGATCGAACATTTACGAGCGATTCCATCGCATATCTCACTTCAAATTCTTTTTTTGTACGACAACTTTGGATACCGAAATTGAGTTTTCTCAAGCGTTCATTACGTTCATTTGATAGCAGTAACCGAACAGGAAAGAACACATGAAAAACTTAAATATATGCACAAACAGGTCCGAACAAAAAAAACTATGATTGAAACAAACTCAAAAAGTCCCAAGCGATCAGACATAATCAGATGAGCGTTTGACATACGTCCGATTGAATCTTGACTCAGATATTTCAAGAAGAAATCAACCATATCTTCTGTCTGAAAGAAACGCATCCTTTCAACTGAATAAATGCGAAAAATGGGCCTAATAAATTCACAGCAAAACGATGCAAACTGTCGCTAATACAGAAAGATAAAGCGAATCCAAGACGTACTGCTGGTCTATGGATACCACACTATCATAAAAATACCTTTGGTGTTGAATCATATTCAGGTGCGACAGATTTAGGAAAATCCATCGCATTTTCGTTGTGCTCCAAGAAGAGATCCTTATCAAATATCACTATATACTCATCACCGTCCAGATCACTGCCTAAACTTACAACAGTCATTGTCAGCAAGCGAATTATAAATCTTCAAGGAATAACCACGACATCATTTGATTCGTTTATCAATTATAATACTCACAGTCAATTAGAAACTTCAAAAAATCAAAAATATTTCGGTAAATGAATATTATATCGAATGAATACTACATTAGTTCCTACTCGAACAATAAACAGGAAGACACTATAAAAGTAAATCTTGAATGTCTGACGAAGATATTGATAAAATTCCTAGAAGTGATTGATGAACCTTAATTGAATTTATTCTTTTTTCATTTAAACTGAGTTCACGAAAATAATTTTTAATTCACTTCAATGATTTATATGACCTCATCACTTGAGCATGCTATAGGATTCATCAAAAATGCATTTCACCATCCTATTTCAATGAGAAATACTCATTTGGAAGAATGTAAAGTGATCGATAAAAGATTAGTGATACTGAATCAAATCGAATGAACATGCCAGCCATCTCATCAGTGTGCGGTCTCGGTCCATAGCGAGGAAAGACGATAACATCACGAAGATGCTCCAGCGATGGCTGATATACCGCCGTAAACATACGTACATCACCACCAACCAAACAAGGATTCTTTGTTACTAACACTCGACCTAGAATCATTTCATCATCAACGTACTCATTACTATCCAGCATGGACAGAGTAACTGAATACTCAATCTGTCAATTCAATATCAACGAACAAAAAAGGAGTGAACTTATGACCAATATGTGTGATGACTTTCTTTGAAGGATTGCGAACACTTGGTGAATACTGAATAAAAACTTGTCCATATTGTAAAACGCCTGTATCATCGATAACACCATACATCGTACGACCCATTGAACCAGGCAAAAATATCTTTGACTTACTCAAATGTAATTCTGCAAATTTAGGCCGTCAATATGTCAAGACAATAAACTTTGAGAGTAAAGCGAAGAACAGAGTTAGGAACAGTCTGACTATTGCATTCTTTCAAATATTTGAATTACTGATTGCCCGGAACACTGCTAAGTGATCGATTACTGCTAATAAAGTGTCAATAAGGATTGGATCAAATCGGATTGTGAGAGTCAACCAAATAAACGGCCGCTAACTGATATTGTAACGATGAACGGCGATGAGCAAGGAACGAAAGAACGGTTCGTTGGTGAACAAAAAACCGTTGTCGTGCAACTGTCTAAAATCAATGGACAGTGATAAACGCGACGATAATGCTTCAGCTGCAGTCTCCTCATCGACCAACATCGCTGCAAATTTGTTCACTTCTATTCATGGTCTTAATTTTCTATGCCTTCAACAGCGATCCACTTTTAAAATCAAATTTTGAATATTTCATTCAAAATTTCGCAACTTCCCGATATTTTTACTTGTCGACGAACTACATCTTATCCACACATACGATTTGTTCATGTATGGAACAAGAAGCGATACGAACAGTGACAATCTTATGCTTCATTAGTTTTGAATAACAGTGATAACAATAATAACAAACCAGCTAGTAAATTGAGTTCCTTTTCAAGAAGACAATGAACTCGCCAACAAAGACGTTGATGTATGTCACGATTCTGCTTTTCACATACCTTAATTGAAATCCAAAGATATTTTCTATCAGGTAGGCATAAGCAGAATTGAAACGAACTAATCACCTGGTCCATAATCATGATCAACGGTCTACTCAGGCAAACTGAAGATGGCATTGAATGTTTGACTACTTCCAATTCAGCCGATTCGCTTTCATCTT